TTATTATTGGTTATCATAGTAATAGTAAAATTTTTGTGTTACATATCCCCTGTAATTTGTCCATTCCGCAAATCGGCCCATATGGACCCCATATGTTTATTATGTTGTGAAACTAATGTCAATCATTCATAAAATTGAATACCCGCTATGTTAGAATATACCCCTTTTTTGATCTACACAATTCATTTAATTGATGATCCGTCTATGAATGAGAGAAATGTCGATCAATTTATTATAAAAATACAGGGGAAATTTTATATTAAAAGATCAACAAAAAAATATTTTACATCCCCATTACACAATAAATATTTAAAAAATTCTATTCTTGCAAAATTATCATTTTAAAATGTCAGTTGAATTTAATTCAAGTTTTATTGAATCTGGATCTATTGTGAGCACTTTGCATTATGGTCCATTTGCAAAATTCTGGTGGGAAAGCAAATTGATGATAATGATATTAGTGATATTAATATGGAACATTTATTAAAACCTGGATTTGCTTTGAAAAGCAAACAAATATTTCGAAAAAAAGGTGGTGGTAAAAGAATTAATTTAGAAGTGGTTGAAAAATTAAAGGAAATGTTTTTAGCTGGTAATATAGAAAAAAATCAAAAATTATCAGCTGAAAATATGTTAAGAAATCTTCAATCATATGCTGAAAATAATGAAATTGAATTCAATAATATTCCTTCACTCCAACAAATTAAGTCATGGATATCCAGGTTTAATCAATATCATAAAAAGCAAGCAGCTGAAAAATAATGTATAAAAATATTATTTATTTATTTGCATTAAAATGAATGAAAAGAAATTGCAAAGATTTTTTTAGAAATTCACCTAACATTAAAAAAGTTCTTTAATTAGTTGGAAATTTTTTTTTAAAAAAAAATATCAACAAGAAATATATGCTAAATGACCATTATCCTGGCAAATTTAATCAATGAATGTGTGAAATAACATACCAAATACCATATTCATCAAATGTTAAAAAGGTTCTTCAATTAATTGAATTCTTTTTTTTAATTTTTTTGAAAAAAAAAATTTTTAAAATCAATGAGTAAATAAGTAAAAATAAACATGCTAAATGACCATTACCCTGGCAAACTTAACCAATGGATGTGTGAAATAACATACCAAATAACATGTTCGCCTAACATTAAAAAGGCCCTTCAATTAATTGAATTCTTTTTTTTTTTTTTGAAAATTCTCTAAAAAAGCAAGGCAGGATGGAACATGCAATAATATTATGGTAAAGGTTACATCAATTTAATTATTTACTTCTTATAATTCTTAAACTAATTAATTAATGAGTGATATTGATGTTTATTTAAAAAAAAAACTATTTTTGCTAAGAAATAAGCTATTAAATTTCAAGATACTTTCTAAAAATTCACTTTAAATGTGGATTGACTAGATTTTTTGTTGAAAAAAATTTATGCTCACTTAAATGAGATACTGGTTTACATAACAATTCATGAAAGACTTTAGCATTCCTTTTTACACGTGACTTATAGAAAAAGATAAATTTAATTTAGTAGGAGGAAATAAACAAAAATAATATATAATAAAATGAGATACAAACCTTCCATGACAGAATTTTGTATACGGCCTCAATACACTTGGGGAATGCTTCTACTGTCTTTGGGATAACTATATCTGTTGGATCAAATATACAAATTGTATCTTCAAATAAGTAATGTGCTACTGACAATGTTAATTTAAGACCTAAAAAGAGCAAACATCATATTATCAATTAATTAATATTTGTCAAATTTTTTATTTAGAACTCAATTTTCATATAACAATAAGTGACTATTTACCATTTGTCTGAATCATATATGTTTCAAATTTATGAATATCTGACCTTGAACTTGTAGGTATGTTTCAAATTTATGAATATCTGACCTTGAACTTGTAGGTAGCTCTAAGAATGCACTGGCTAACAAAACTTTACTGCAGTATTCAAGCTTTTTACAATCATTTATCCTTTTATTAGACACATCTTTTTTTGAAGATTCATGTAACAAAATCTCTGCATCAACTGACATCATGGTAGCTTTTGAATCAAGCTTAGGACCTGACCTAGACCGCAACTGAGCTAATTTTTTCAAATTTTCAAAAGATTGTGAAGAAAGTTCTCCACTACAATTTAGAAAACAAATTTTACAAGTTTCTAATCATTAATATTATAGATTGACAAAAAAAAGTTTAGAAAGACTAATTTTCTTACCTAGAAAATTTTATGTTGTAACCTTTTTTAATAAAAACATGGTTGATAAGTGAGCTCCAAACATATATTGAAAGTTCATCTTCACTTAAGTCTCTAATAAGTATATCATTTGAATAAAGATTGTACCTTCATTATGAAAATCACAATTCAAAAAATATAGATATTAGTAACAAAACTTCATCTTTTACTAATGCCATTACAAAATTAAAAAAAATTTGCTAACATATTATTAATGAATTGATAAGCATATTTTAGATTAAATGGTGTGTTTGTTTCTGCATGTACATTATTCTTATTCAATGCCTGTCTTAGTTCATTTAATGTATACTGTAAAAATATTACAATTAATTTTTAATGTTGAATTTTCTATAATTATTTGAAGAAAATAGACACTTGCACAATTCTCAAAATTCTTTAGATAATTAACTACAATTTCATCAATATCAACTTTAAGTTTTTCTATGCCATGTTCTTTTTTATCATTGAAATAAATTATATCAACATCATCATTTTTTAATTGACTTTGAATATTGGAAATCATTGATGATGGGAGTAATTTTGTGCAATAATTATCATTGAAATTAATTACTCCAATTTGCAACAGGCTAATAAAAAAACAATATCATAAGATTAGAGGCATGATCATATGTTTCAAAGATTGATAATATACAGAAAAGTAAATTTTACTTACAATTTTATAGGTTCATTTTTTTTACACAATGAATTCCATACATCAATCTTATCCCAGTGCCATTTATAATTTATTAAAGGTACAATACACAAACTTATAAAAATTTTCTGTGGTAGATCATATTCCATATATTTACGTGCTGCTTGCTTTTTGTTAAAAGTTTATTTATATTCAGGAGATATTCAATGGTAATCCATTACAAATTATTAAAAATTCACTTACTTTAGATGTTCGTTTTGGTCGTTGTTCCAAGTTTTTGTTATTAATAGAACTTAAAAGATGATGAATTATTTTAATAAGTAACTAAA